ACGTTCAACAAGATCAAATAAATTTGTTCATCAAAATTTATTAACTGTCTTCAATTTTCCCTTTGAAACTCATATATAAATTTAAATATTACAAATAACACAAAATACAGGTAATATAACTTTATGTGTGTAAAGTCTTGGGTTACCTAAACTAAGGAAATTTTGTGTATTAAATAAAAAAAAAACAATAAATGTTCATGATAAAAAATACTTGTCATATTCGTGTCGTGACATGGTTGGTCACGAAGTAGATATTTGTTTATATAAAAGCCAGTGCAAATGTAGCAACTGCAAGAAACAATTTTACTAGACTTGAAATACTTAGCAAAGCTTCATTATGGGAGGAACAATGGTGATCCTACTTTTTGTTATGGTCGTAGTTTTGGCATTCTTCGAAATAAATGCCGAATCATTTGCTGATCCTTTGGCTAGGCCACATCCTAGTCCTTGTAGACCAGTAATTAAATCTTTTCTTTAATCATATACATTTTGATTTACTTTAGCATCAGAAATAATTATAGAAAAATTGATAAATGTTTTTTCTTTTTTATTTCAGTTTAAGCCAGGACAAAGTCCACCAATAGATTGTCCACCTTAATACTTCCTTTTTAAAAATTAATTGAATCTTCGTTATTAAATATACGTGTGTTCGATGTATGCGATACTTAAAAAAAATTATTATTACATTTATTCAAAAAATAAAATTATAAATTTCCTTAGAAAAAAAATATAAGGAATATATTGTATTACGAAAATATACATACAATTTGATAAATTAATCATTTTGGTTCATTTATTTTAATGTTACAATTTATCCTCATCTGATATGTAATTTTACAAGTAAATAAAATTCTTATTAGACAAGTTTCTTATTAAAAACTAAATAATAATATATTCCAGAAATAAATGAAATATTTTTCTATGAAATATAAAATATAAATTACGTAAGACATATTATCTTGTTTACAAAAATGCATAAACTTTTTTTTTTAAGTTGTAAACCACATATATTTGTAATAGTTATGAACGTGTATCTATACCGATAAATTTTATTAGATATAAATACAACTATAATATGTTTTTTTATAAAAACAAAAGTAAAACAACATGTTTTTTGATGAAATTATTATTAATAATAATTTTGTTATATAATAAGTAATGAAATAAATAGATATTGACGTGTATATAAGCCTAAGTAAAATAAGTAGCTACTACTAGTTATTTTACTGAAATAACCAAGAAAATATCATCATGAAAAGTATATATTTGATTTTGTTATTTGCTGTAGTCATATCTCTGGTATTCTTTGAAGTAGACGCTGGACGAATTATAAATGCAGAATGGACCAAAATAATTTGTCAAAAATACAAGGTGATTGACTAATTTGTTTTTAGTTTAATACTTTGTTCTAATAAATAATGATTATTTATGGTAACATAAGAGGTTTTTAACGAAATATATAATGGATTTTTATTTCACAGAATAAAAAGGAACCAGCACCCGCAATATGCAAGAAAATAGGCAAATAAATAAAATATCTTTTACGAATTTATAAAATATGTTTCATTAAATATTACCTATAAATATATTATTGTAATTGTTTCATCAGTTTACCCATGGAGTAATATAATAAAAAATATATTAACTTATGCAAAATAAGAGTAAATCAATTTCTTCTGAAAACTTTTGTCGTCCTACAAAGCATTGTACTTATTTTATTTTTTAATATAAATGGATTAACAATTTAACCCTACAAGTCTTTAATATTTAATAAAAATTTGTTCAATTTGTTAATAACTAATTGCAATTAAATGCACTATTTGGTAGATTAAAATTACACGTATAGGTTTTACCTAATAAAAACAAATTAGTTATCTGTACGTATTTTATATTGGGTTGGCAACTAAGTAATTGCCGATTTTTTCAATGAAATAAAACAGTTTTTTTATTTACTTGGAATGAAGTTTAATCTATGATGTATTTTCCATATTGTTCGATGACCTTATGCCATCTATCTGACAATTTGAAAATTCCACGCTCGTAGAAAGTCTGATCTTTTTCGGCCAAAAACTGAAGTAAGTGAGATTTTACAGCGTCATCATCATTGAAAGTTTTACCACGAACGGAGTTGTCCAGTTTCAAATCGTGCGGAACCAAAATATCCAGCTTCTGAACACAACAGCTTAAATGCGTTTCAGAAAGAAAATGTTAATTACTTTATTCTCAATAAAAATGCAATAAGCCATGCTTTTTGATAAGATATAAGTACTATTATTATCATGACGTCTTCAGTTATTAATTAGACACTTCCGTGTATATATAAGCTCGTCGAAATGAAACTATTACAAATAACTATTTTACTTAATATCGTTAAAAACGCAAAAAAATTTCATTATGAGAGGCATGTTTTTCATTCTACTATTTCTTGTGATCTTAACTTTGACATTTTTCGAAGTAAAAGCTTCACCAATGGATGAACTACCGCCTAACGTAATCCGACTTCAATTATGCAAATTTATCCAAGTAATTAAGTATTTTTTTCAATTTTATATCTAAATGATTCATAATATTTTTTAATCCATCAATAAGTGATGTCACCAATAAAATTATGATTGTTTTAAATGATTATTATTATATAAATTTTTATTGTATGATTTATGTTTTGATTTCAGATAAAGACTGGAAAGAAATTAGCACGATGTCCTTGACTTATTATTATTTCTGGAAACGAATAAAATGACTGTCCTAAAATATACTATCAGCTAATATTTCTTAATACTTATAGCTTTTGCAAAAATAAGTATTTCCTTTATAAGATATAAAGCCATGTATTGCATAATGAAAATATAAATATTGATAAGCACTAATATTGTTAATTCTTTACAATTCTTCTTAATCATTGTTATCTGATGTATACTACGTTCCATTAAAAATATTAAATTTTTCCTTTCGAATTAACAATTTAGTATTCGATATTAATGCAACTATGTATTAAAATTTAGTACTGTTACAAAACGTGAGTTTATTTATCAGTTTTCCGGGTATTGGACTATACAACTTTTTATCCAAGGACTTGAAAACTCAGCTTTAGTATTTTTACTTTGAATAAAAAAAAAATAAAAAAAGCGACAATGCACGATTTTGGATAATACATTAGTATTGGTGAATATCGTGACATGTTTGGTCACGAAGATTTTGGCTTGTATATATAAACCCGTCCAGGTGAGAGAGTAAACATAAATAAAATAGTTTTCATTCGACGTGAAATATTATACGTAACAAGATTTCATCATGAAAAGTATCTCCATTTTACTTTTTGCTGTAGTAGCAGCTTTGGGTTTTTTGGCAGTAAACGTTGAAGCACAATCAAACAACAAGAAACCAGGAGGCCGACCAGTAAGAAATATTTGTTTTTTAATTACTTATATTACATGTTTTTTTATGTTTCTTTTATTCGTACCTTTATGCGAAGATTATTTCATAAATATATTTAATTAATTTGTTTTTGTATTTTAGCCTGGCTTCTCACCCTTCCGAAGTGGGGTGTAACCTGTAACCTGCCATTGTTTCTGAACTTAAAAAAAGGACCCTTATTAATATGATACATTTTATGATGACAATATAATATTCTAAAAGTATCTAATCTTATGCATTTATTTTTATCCTCCTTATTCACTCGTAATTATATTCAGTCACGATACGACGTAAAATCTCATGAAATATTTCGTTTTAATATAGGCTAGTAGCTTTTAGAATTGACGTTGTTAATTTTACTTTTTTTTCCGTAGTCTTAATTTTTATGAATTGAAACGATGAACTAATTATTGAATGAAACATAATTGTACTGTTATGATTATGATTATCGTACAGCGAGTATGTGTTCTCGACTGGCCAGAATTGATCTTTAAAATATGGATAAACGAAAATTCAGATTAAGTAATACGTTTTGATAGACCTTCTTATATAGCATAAATTGAGAACCACTGTCGGTGTGTAATATTCCGGTGTATCGTAATAAAAACACTGAAAATGAATTAACTTTTTGTTCAGTCGGCTCGACTACAGGGCGGTTATGTTCGAGTCACATTGTGAGGGCCGAAGAAAAGAGGTGAACATTGAAAACTTGATGGAGAAGTTAGAAGAAAAATATCTATAGTGATCGGCATTGTGTATCGTGCTTACAATTCGGTGTATCATGTGGTTTGTCCTAGGATACCCGGGGACATAGCGAATTAACTAGCCGTATTCTCTCTCGATGAACATCGGTTGCAATCTCAACGGCAACGACGAGATTGTCTGAACGAGAAAACAGCAACTACTATACGCATCGTCGAACCTTAATCGAGGTCGTGCTGTACATAATTTTTTCTTTAGATCCGTTATAAATACACTAGAAAAAAAAAATACCTAACGATTCCTCCTCATCGCGAATGACCCTTTTTCGTTCGACAATTATTAGAAAAATTTCTATAGGTTGATACGACTTGTGTATTCAAAAAATTAAAACCCATACGTTATTTTATAGATAAACGTATTGTTCAGAAAAATATAAGTATATGATTTAAGTCACTGATTTATATTGGGATGATTTGTTTTGTTGTTTTTTCATATTCTTATATTTTTGATAATCCCTACTGTGTAGAATAAATTATCTAAATCATTTTTTAGATTCTCTAATATATAATTAGATATGTTTTTAATATTTAATTTGTTGTAGAAGACTTTGAAATAAATGAGACATTTGAGTCGAATTGATAAAATTTAAATAAATTATTATTATTATTATTATTATTATTACACCGGATAAAAAAGAAATGAAAATTTCAGTCGAACAATTCTTAATTTCTTCTTCTTCTTCTTCTTATTGTTATTCTTCTACGTTTGTTACATGAATAATTTGGCATAATGATGATCGCACTTCTACGTGCGATTATGATCGATGATAGATACATGAGGGATTGTGAATTGTTTCGAAAGAGCGTGCCTACCCTGGCACTTGCTAAGGAGAAGAACGGCTATGATAATAGTTGTGCACGATCGCAACTACGGTCAAAGCGGCCAAAGTGTAATTTATATTTAAATAAGCTTGAATCGAAAACCACAAGGTAAATATGAGAAACGATTCGAGAAAACGTAGGAGAGAAGAAGAAAGAGAAAGAGAGAGAGAGAGTGGGCCGTGACTAACCTGTGTGCGTGCCGATTTGAGTGCGATGTGATTTTCGATCAAATTGCGGTCGCGGCTCAATAGTGCCAGGCTAATCGATTATCATCATCGAATATTTTCAGTTCGATCGTTGTCTCTCTCTCTCTCTCTCTCTCTCTCTCTTTGTTTCTCCTAAAGAAACTCTTTGAAAGTTCGAAATTATCTTTAAGTGTTTACGAATTTGTATGTTGAAATAATACTCTGAACACCATACAAAACTGGATCGTTTTCAATGCAAGAATGTATTTTTTTTTTCTTTTTATTATTTATTTTATATCGTTGCAACACTGTTATATATAATCATTTGTTCACATATAAATAATATTTTAGATTGATAATCATTGTGTTGATTGACATTGATTCTATTCAATATTATTTTATACTGCTTAATAAAATTTCAATTGTGAAGTCAACAATATTAAGAAAATAAAATAATCTCATTAATTCGAGAAAATTAAAAAGAAGAAAAAAGAGATTAAACCGAAATATTTTCCAAGAGTTATCGATGAAACAACCAATCAACCAACCAGCCATCTGACAGACCGCGAGGAAACACACATATCTAACCGAACACCTATC